CTCTGATCTGCTCTGTCTAACACATGGGCTCCTCTAGACTGAGGTCAGCTGATGGGGGCGGGGGGTGGGGCGTGGAGGGCAGATGGGGTAGATTATGAGCTGGTGTGAGGTGGATTTGCTTGCTTCCCGTGTGTCAGTGGCATTGTCTCAGAAAGTACCTTCTCCATTCTGAAATTCTCAAACATGATGTTATAACACACTGGATGAAAATGTGCTCTGGTGAGATGGGGCAGCTTCCTAGGGGCCTTTAAAGAGTATTCCCCTTCTATATCAGGGACTCTAAAACTATCAGAGATAAGTAAAAACCTTTGCTACTACTCTCAGGCTGAATTAATTTACAGGAGATTTTTCTTAAGCAGGAAGCAGTATTATCATCTAAGAAGCACTTAATGTTGATTTTTTTTTAAAAAATGAAGCTATTAACCTATGACATTTAAAAAAAAATAAGAGACAGAGTCAGGGGATGATGGGCAAAGGATGCTCCCCAGACTCCTGATCAAACTCCTAATTGATCTGTTTATAGCTAACAACTCCCACCCCCAGCCAACGGCAGCCCTTACGCTTCCAGCTTTCCCTGCTGCTACTCTACACCTGGGGTCCTTCCCAGAGTGGAGGTGCTCTCCCCTCCCCTGCACGCATTCCTTTGCTCTCACTGGCACCTCTGTCTGAAAACCCTCTTCCTGCTGCGTCTCCGCTTGTCCTAAGTTAACGTTTCCATGTCACATTGCACTTCTTACGCTTCTTATACAGAACCACACACTCTCTCTCTTGCTTGTAGCTATTACCGGAGAGTAGATTATGTAATGACCCTCTTTGGTTTCAGGTTGCTACGTTTTTATTTATCTAGCCTGACTGTCGGCTCCTTGAGGTGGGGAACGTGGTCTTCCTGGACCTTTTTCTTTTAATTTGTAAAAAGCAGCTCACTTTATACACCACATAATCTAGTACCACTTTGACGTCACCAGTAGAAAAGAGTGTGTGCTTGGGGACAGAAGAGCCTGCATTCCAACTCCCAGCCTGAGTAGCAACACCCAGTGGGACTTTGGGAAGGTGCTTTTAATTTTCTGAGCCTCTTCCCTCATTGTAAACATGGAAGCAACAAACCAACTTTCCACATAAACCTATTAGGAATTAGGTAAGAAAGCTTGAATAATGTTTCTGTAAGGAAATCTCTACAAGAAGGCCAGAGCAATAGGAATGATGTATGCAGCTTTCTTCATACCTGCTTTGAAATAGGAAGCAAGCTCGGGAAACTGAGGAACAGGTGTAAGTCCCTAAATAAACATAGGCTCTGAGACAAACAGACTTAAGTTAGACTCCTAACTTCATTACTTAACAGCTCTGTGGCTTTGGGTAAATTACTTCTCTCTGAACCTTCATTTCCTCATTTGGGGGATGAGAATAATCAGTGTGAATGGTCCACAGCTCTGGCTCAAGAAAGAGGAGTTTCTCTGCCTTTTTACTAGGTACTAGCTTTAATGTGCCTGGCTCTGGCTTGTACTCAAGTCTTGTCTCCTTAGAGAGACAGCCTACTGGCCTCAAGGCCAAGCTCAGAGCTGGGTATTCACTGAAGATGCTTAGGTCACTTTCTTGCCATAGGGGCTTCACTTAGCTCAAGTAAACTGCTCTCCATGATAAGTAGCTACCCCTTCTCCAGTAGACCTAGCTTAGCTAATTCCAACCGGGAGAGGGGAAGGGAAGCAAATTCCTAGGTGATGTTGAAGCGATTCAGAGATCAGCAACAGCAGAAAGCTGCTCCCGTCTTAGGGATCAAGGGACAGTGGGAGGCTGTTGTGTGACCACAGCCAGGAGCTAGCGATGTCAGGCAGGAGCTGAAAGGAAAGAAGGGCTGGGTGGCAGAACTGGAACCTGAGAGAGAGAAGCTGAGAGCTGGGATTACACAGGAGATGCAGCTGCTGCTATAATGAAGGGGGAAATCACCCGACTTCTCCCCTCTTCCTGCACATCAACCTTCCCCCTGTGTCACCCATTGACCACTGGCCAAACCAGAGACCAGTTACAAGGGAGCCTGGGAAACACAATACACAGCAGAGGAGGGTGAATAAGCCATCAGACAGAAACTAGGCAAAAGACTGCCCAGACATCTTTCAGTAATATATGGAAAGTGCTAAAATAGCATGTGATTGATAATCAGCTAGTAATGGTAGTTAGCAACATAATATTGTTATACATTGTATAACTCTCACTAAAAATTTATTTATACCAGTAAGTGTAGTAAACACTTTATACATATTATCTCATTGAATTGTCCCAACAATCTCATGGGGTACCTAGTTTTAATAGTCATGCGTTTTACAAAGGAGGAAGCCAGCTTAGAAAGGTGAAGGGATTAACTTAATGCGCAGCTATCACATTTGAGCTCAGGACTGAAGCCCAGATTTATGTGACGTCAGAGTCTATGCTCTTAACTGTGGTCCTCGTTATTACTTATAATATGAATCATACTCTTAAGAGTAAAAGGGATGGTACCAGATAAATCAAACATAAATTTCTCATAATTACTGGGAGGATATTTTGAAGACCTAAATTTCCAGGGCTGAAAGCCTAGAACACCCTGTGAGCATTAAATCTGCCCTAATAAAAAAAAAAAAAAAAGTAGAGATTAAAAAACAAGTACATCGCCTAAGCTAGTTTATAAAGGTCCATGGCGTTCCCTCTGGAAGGCTACAGGGTATTTTTGCGAAGAGGATGCCAAGTTCAGTGGCCTCTGTAGGCTCGCTGTTTACTGACATTTGATATGCTTCAACATCTGTTGCCCTTCTCAGTTGATGGGTGCTTCATTTTAGCACTTCCCTAATGCCAGGCTGGTAAAAAGCCTTAGTGCTGAGGTCCCCTAAGACACTCACGGATCAGTGACGCAGCTTCGTCTGTAAAGGGAAGGAATGTTCAGGGAAGAGAGGTGGAGGGACAGCCATCAACCACACTGGGTGGTCTCAGCTCTACACCAGGGACAAACCTGGGCGATTCATATTCTGAAGTTTCAGTATCATGTTCTGGGTTCTTGACAAGGTAAATTCTTCTGCTTCTGTGAAAGTTCATGGAACAAGTTCTAGGTTAGCTTTTAAAGGACTGGCAAATTTAGAATCTGGCACCAGAAAAAATGTGGTCTCTTTTGGAGAACTGGTACCCTTCTTTGATCCCGAGAGCACTCTATGACTCCACACATTTCCCAGTTTTGTCTCGACTGCCTGGAAGCTCAAATAATCTCCTTATTTATGGGTCAGAGACCCACAGGCCAAAGACCCATAAATCTCTTTGGCTTGGATCTCACTGATCCAGGATTAAAACACTTCACATTTCAGTGCCCTTAGGCAGAGCATACATTCTCCAACCCAGTATAGAACCAACCATCTGACTCTCTGCTGCTTTCTCCCTACATTATAAGAATTACCTGGAATCTGAAGACGCACAAATTCAAGGGCCCTCTCCCTCTAGTGTAAGTAGTTAGTGTATTCACCTTTCTACATAGTTTCTGACTTCAGAATTTTATTTTGATTAGTTTCATTCTGCTTAGTCATGTATTACACGCTTCCTCAAATCCTTTGTGGAAGCTGAATATAAATGACAAACAACTAAACAAATTGCTTTCTTCCCCAAGCGAAACTGCCAACATTAGTGTAAGCAGCTGTATTCTCACTGCATCCGAGGACTGATCATTCCTGGTGAGTCACTCTGGCCCCTCCCACCTTCCCTACCTGTTAAAGGATTAGCAAGGCTGTGGGCCCCAGCCCACTACTCCCTCGAGCAGCAGAAAGAACGAACTGCAGATAAGCAAGACCTATATGCTCAGAATTCATTGTTACGGGTAGAGAATTAAATGGTTAATCATTAAGAATTTAATAAATATTTACTCTATAACAAAAAAAAAAGAAAGAATGAACTGCGTCCTCAGTAGTAGGTGAGGGGCCAGGACACAGGTGGCTTCCGCACTATTTCTACTGTCTAATATGTAAATCTAGCTCTAGGCACCTCTAAAGCACTGGGCTGCAGGGGACAGCAGAGGCTGGGTCTGGAGCCAGCCTGCCTGAGTTTATGGCCAAATTCTACCACTAGCTGTCTCTGTGACCTTAGCCAGCTTATTGATGTCTTGGTGTCTCAATTCTCTGCTTTATAAAGTGAGACAATGATACCACCCACTTTGCAGGTTTGCTGTGAGAATTAAATTAACACAGGAAATGACAATAGTACTTTCTGTGTGCCAGGCATTGTGCTAAAATGAGTTTCCATTCATAGAATCCTGGCCGGAACTCAGTGGGGTCAGTTAACATGGAACTGAGGCTCAGAGAAACTAAGTACCTTCCCCAGCAGGTTCGTTCACACAGCCAAGAAGCAAAGGAGAAGCCATCGCCCTGGAGTGCGGCGGTGTGACCTAGAGAGCCACTTTCTCTCTTCTGTCCCGTTTGATTTCCTCCCATCCTGCCCGCAGTGGACTCAGCTGGCTCATCCGTGCTCAGCAGAGCCCCCAGAGTACCACTTGGCCACGCTGCTCCACCCACTGTGTTGAGGTGGAATAAAGAGAGATTTGTGTAGGACGGAGGCACCTGTTACTCCTCTGCTTTGAGAGAAGGCACTGCAAAGGTTGAGAGCAGCACTGGGGTCACAAGCCCACCCCCCAAATTCCACCTCCACCAGCCCCATCGCTAGCTAATCCTCTAAGGGCCCAGTTCAAATGGTGCCTTCTTAGAAGGCCTTTCTTAGCTCTCAAGACAGTGGAAGACACTCTTTCCTTGGTGCTCCATTACCTCACTGTATAGCAATTATAACAAATGAGCAACAGCCAATGTTAAGTAAACACTGTGCCACACTGCACGTACCAACATGTTTGTTCTTTACAATATGCGGTATGAGATAATATATCTGTGATGCAGATACTGCTTGTCGTATTTGCAGATGAGGGCTCGGACGCAAACAGAAATAAGGTAACTTATACCAGGTAAGTGGCAGAGCCATGATCTGAGCCCAGGCCCAGGCCCCACGGTCACTGCCATTATACTGTGTGTTGACTTTTTTATAACTGTCTGTCTGTGTCCACCTCCTCCTCACTAGGCTGGCCACTCCATGGGCACTGAGATGTGTGTGATTTTCCTTTGTCATGCTACCATCTAGAACTGTCCTTGTCACATGGCAGGCTCTTGCTGATGAACCTGGGCTTAAAGAATTAAACAAGGAGCGTTATCACCTACTTGAATCAAGGCCCAGACACGTCTTTCCCAGACTCAGCCAACGGTCATCTGCCAGCCCGGCTACCACAGCCCACCCGACCTCCAGCGAGGATGGCAGAAAATGCATCCTGACATCACAGGAAGCACCCAAGGAAAAGGTGCATTAATGGGGCAAAAACAAGCCAGCAGAGTGATTAATTTGGCTTCCTCTTCCATATTATGTTTATACAACTTGATTATATAGCACTTAATTACTAATTTGCCCTACTTAAACCAAGAGTGCTTTTAATTTTTAATGAGATAAGGGAAGAAGATGCCTTTACTTAGTGAGGAGTAGCTATTTTATTTCCTTCTCTTGTTTTGCCCGCCAATTAATAACATTTCTAAGGAAATGCATCCTTCTCATGAATTTTTTCTCTCCATCTTTTTCCTGACCTCCTGGTTTAAAAAGAGATGGAAACAGACAAGAGCCACTTAGAAACAAACTGACTTTGCTTCTTTGTCTGGACGGGCTGGGAAAGGCTTTGTACAGTTGAATCACACGGGACCCACACATGGTGCTGATTTTGGGAGCTGGGAATACCTATTCCCAGAAATCATAACTTGGTTGTAACTGGCAACAGAGAACACAGCCAGGGGTCTCCAAACACATTATTTCTCCCTACTGGGCCACATTGTTTTCTGGGCATTAATGACAGGCAAGTGTAAGTGCTGCCCTGGGGCAGTCAGGACCTAAGAGCATAGACAGTGGAGTCAGATCTGGACTTGACTGCTAGCTCTGCCAGCTGCTGATAAACCATGGGCATATTACTGGGACTTTCTGAGCCTCGGTTCCCTATCTGTAAAGGTGAGGTGAACAGTCCAACTTGCAAGCATTACATATCACCTAAGAGGAAGTGCAGGAAAGTATTAGCTTTCTTGTCTTCAGCATAAATGAAGCAGGAGATTGAAGTGGGGACCAGGGAGCCCCTTGTGAGGACTCCAGCAAGTCTGTCATCATGTGCAGGGTCGAGGAGTCTAGACCAGTGCTACTCAAAGAGCAGGTCCACAGTGACATAAGGAGCTTTCCCCAGAATGTGAACAAACACACTGACTCCTTCACTGAGAACGTCTTGCTATGAATAAAACATCGTAACTAATTTACATTCTGAGGCAAGTACCTTATCACATTGCAAATCTATAACACAGCATTCAGAGCGGACCCCTGGTCCGCAGCCTGACCTGACCAAACAACTGATGGCCATCTGCGTTCTCCTGTGGGCCCTCCCCAGATTTCCCTGGGCTTAGCCGGGCTTACTCGTACCCATTACACCAGTGACCTCCCTTTCCTTCTAACTTTGAGTCTGGCCAATGGGGAGCCCAGCAAGGGATCAGAGACTGGGAGGAGAATGAGGTCAAGAACCTAGCGCTGTCCCTCCATGGTCTCTGACCAGCCAGCTGACCCCATAGCCTCCACACAGCCCCCTGTTCCGTGGTCGGTCACAGTCACAGTACCTGTGCTCTGCCTTCCCCTCTTCAGGTCTGGCTGTTACAAACCCTCGGGCACCACATCCTCCCTGGCAACTTCTCGATGCCCTGATCCTCAATCTTATGAACAGTCACTCCTCTAAAACCTCTATAATTACCCTACTTTGAGGGTGCAATCTGTGGGGACCTAGGCTAACTTGGTGACATTTTACTGTGCATCCTAATCCTAGTTGTCTATTTCTGATGCTAATGTTTTAAATAATGGCAATCCCACTTTGCCCCAGACAAGTCCGTGTCCATACACGATCGAGGTGAACAGTCCCCGGCTTTGCGATCCCAGCCTTGGCCTTAGAGTCTGGCTTTGTCCCTTTCCAGCCTTGGCTTTGGCGAGTCACTTGACCCCTCTCATACATCACTTGTAAAATTATTATGATAACACTACTGGAAATGTCCTTATATACAACTTTTAACATGTTATCAAATTTTTAGATATTTAAATTTCTTTGATATCCTTGGTTAAAGATATTCCCCAAGTTTCTGAACCCATGGTGCTTTCTTATGGTAACAAGCAACTGCATTAACAAGGTTTCCCTCCTGCATAGTTCTTGGTCATCTGCCTCGATGCTGCAACCAGAACTCCTTCATAGACTTTAGTGAGACCTCAGACATTGCATGACTCTGAACCAAACTCCCTCCAATAGTATGTGGTATGCGTGTTTGTGTGTGCACATGCAGTCATTTTTCAGGACGTTTTTTCCCCAACTAAGAGATAATTCCTGACTTAATGGAAGGTGTCTTTCCTGATCTCTTATTTGGTTCCACAACCTAATTCACCATGTTGAACACTATATAGCAGAGGTCTGTTATCCCTGAGTCATCCTACTGTATAGAAATAAAATACCAAACCTATTCATCTCCAACAAGGACTTTTTTAATGAAACATAAAATATATAAATGTTAATTAAAATGAAGAATTAATTCCTTATAAGCATGTGTTTCTATGGAAAGATCTTACATATTTTTCAGATTTGCACTAGTATGAAAGGTTGTCTTGAATAAAATGAAGTCAAAGAGTTAGGTAAACTTTATTTTAGAAATACAATTCTGTAGCCCTTCTAAGTTTCTAATGGACTCAGCTGATGTTTCACCTTTTTTTTTCTCTTACAACAGTCCTGTTTGTAAGTTCCTGAGTAAAAACTTCAAGGGGAGTGGGATATTTGGGAAAAATATTTGTTAGCCTAAGTCTTCATGTTAATAACAATACTATAAAAAGTGTCTTTTAATTAAAGCTCTTAAAGTACTTTTTAATATCAACTTCTATAAAAAGTAAATGGGCAGATTATGATTAAAGAAAATACATTACAATGATACTGGTGAGCATATGATAAAGTATTTTCCCAGCAAAAGGAATTAGAAAATTTCTAAATCAAAGAGGGCACACTTCTTATTTTTATCTCCATATCTGATTCTCAACCAAACAGGGCTGACAAATGTGTGAAGCTGCTATTTTCTATAAACCCCCCCACCCTGTGGAGGGCAGCTGAGTTGCCACACTGGAATCCGTGACCTTCCCAAGCAGTGGGTGTACATTGACTGGGATAAGGTTCGATGGGAAAAAAGAACATGAACTCTGAATGGAGCAAGGATGTATAACCTCCCCATTCCTCACTGTCTTCAACTGCGCAGTGGGGACCGTTAACACCCACTGGTGGCTGCAAGGAGTCTATGAAGGATCAGGGACAGGAAAGTCACACATTCTGGATCTTATATAGTGAAATAATTTCTGAAAGCAGAATTTTAAATGTGAGCTAATGCTTTGACTTCGACATCCACAGTTCCATTCTGCAAACTGGATTGGAACAAGGAGATTTACAATTAATTAGAACCTAAAGGTGTTGCTTTTATTTATTTATCTTGGAGAGGGAGCAGTTCTGGAAAGGATATGAGTGTGCTGTTAGTGCTGTTAACCAGGTGTAGCAATAAGTGTAATGAATGTTAGGGCCCATATCACATTCTTTTTCTTCCTACATTCTTAATTTAATCCTTCTTTTAAGTACTAATTACCATTCCAGGATTTTCTGTTGACTTTCTTCTATAAGGCACTGACATATGGGACTGGACACTCTGAAAATTCAATCAGAAATCTGAATCTGTTTAATTAGAAACCAGAATCTCGTGTCTCCAGAAACACATGCTTAAGCAGCAGAGAGCAAAAGTCAACTACACAAAGCTGATAGTATCAGGACCATATGTGAAATGAATAAGACTATAAGAGGCCCTGGGATGAAAGCTAAATGGAACTAAAATTCATAGCAACAGACAGACTCCTTGTACACAAGAACTGTGAGCCCTGAATTTCTATATACTACAGGTGGGAGTTAAAGTGTTAATATGTATCAAACTCACACATGTCAGGCAGACTTTTGACAGTTATACCTCATAATGCATTTTAACATAACTTAGGGTGAGTGTAAAAATTCAGCCACAGAGGTGTTAGTTGCAGCATCTGTTCAAAACAACAGAGGCAACCTAAATATTCAAAACGGGAGAATGGTGAAAAGTCATGGTCTTTTCTATGGGGTAGAAAGCTGTGCAGCCTGCAAACACAGTAAATAAAGGTGCTTACGTATGTTTTGGTCTTGCAGGGGAGGCTACAAAATGATGCATTGTGTGAACACACTTTTAAAAAGTAAATAATGATTTAAAAATATATATAAAAGGATAAGAATGATAGCAATCAGAATCTTAAGTAGTGGTTATTTTAGGCTAATAAGATCAGTGTTTTCATGTTTTTCTTTTAGCTCTGCTGAATTTTCTTTTTGTCCCCAATGAACATGAATCATTCATTATATTCCACAAAAAGGGGAAAAAAGCAAATTATGATTGGATGTGCCAAGAAATAGGATAGTTTCATATTTCTGAATATCCACTATATATCAGTCTTTCCAAACCTCTAGACACTGAAGTCATGATAATCAGCTTTACTTTGTGAATGTACAACTGGTATTTATGGTGACAGGAATCCAAAGAGAACTAAAAATCACAGAAAGTTGACTCACAAAATCAAACACAACAGAGATGTACTGAACTGTGGACAAAATCATGGGCTTTGAAGCACTTCATGGGCGATGAACAGAACCAGCTGTAAACGAAGTGAATGCCATGAAAACGGACAGAAGGAGAGGCTCCAGCAAAGCCGTGAGGATGTCTGCAAAAACTGACCTCCGGGGCAGGCCACAGCGGCTGGCGCGGATGGTTTATTTGTGGGCACACGTTACAGAAAGGGTGAGTAATCGCAGCCCTCACTGGCCACTCACACGTACTGGTGTCTGCCAGACGCAGGAGTCTGTCTGGAACGTGACAGGGAAAGTTGATGGCGGGGGCACAGGGCGTCAACGGTTTGCGAGGCGGTGACCCTCACACTGGGAGGAAGAACTGTCTGATGAATTGCTCAATTCCTGGGGCTTATTTTCTTTACACGGGCACTCGCCTTAAATTGATTGCTAAATTCATTTTGATCTTTTGTCACTGTCTCCTTTGGCTGATTTTTGCTTCAGATGTTTCCTCCATTGCTTTTTGGGGGGACAGGGTGGGGTGAAGGCAGGTGTCAGGATAAACATTACTGTTAGAATTAAAGCTTGCTTTGTATAGTTGTGGAACAAAACTGTCTCTGAAGATACAGGGAATCACGGCAGGCACATGCCGTCTGTGGGGCCCGAAGAAAGCAGAGTGGGGAGCCATTCTGCGTGTCTGTCTCGTTGCCATTTGGCTGAGTTTTCTCTCAAGGCACCTTGAAAAGAGAACCCTTATTTTATGCATCCTTCGCATGTCTTAGAAGCTTTCTATGGCCTGTGCTGAGGAAAGGTAAGCATACTGATATTTCATGAACTTATTTTTTTCCAGTGTGTTCATTTTCTAGGGCCTGGAGCCCACAGAAGTATTACAAGATGCTCCTGACTTCTAACTGAAATTGTTTGGTTTCCAGGTTACTCAGAATTAGAGGAGATCACTTTGGACATTGATGGCCAAGGAGTGAGGGCTGACTTTCCAGGGAGGAGGAAGTGATCAAATGGAAAGGTCACAGAGGTCAAGACTGCATGGACTCCACATTCCCACCAATAACAGGAGGAAGCCTCTCTTCCTGTGTCCCCTCCCACCTACTCAGTGGCTGGACTTCTACCATGGATGTGGCATGTCTGTGGTTTGACTCCATTTAATTGATTAAGCTGCAGATATAAAGACCACCATGACATGATCCTTGTCACACTGTCTACTGAAAGACAGTTTTAAAACTACTAAAGGGAGAACACCTTTTCTGGAGGGGGACAATTCTTTAAGATGTTGTTCATCATTCTATCCTTTAGTGGGAATCGATGGCTATATCAATACTGTTTGTGAGATCCTAATTTGAAAAGAAAACAGTAGGCGGACTTTAGATGTCTGCCGGAAGAGCGTGCAGGACGGGGGGGGGGAGAGGGAGACTATGAGAAGGAGAACATGAGTGGATGAAAGAACAGGAGGCGGACGCTTGGAATTGTCAGCAGGTTTCAACACGCGGAACAGCAACGGACTTCCTAACTGACTGATCATTCCCCCCAGAAAATCCCATCCACTGTCCCTCTCCCTGCATCTGTCAAAACTCTTTCCCAGACTTGAAATATACAGACATTTGCAATAACTGTAAAAGCGAAACCCACAACTGTAAGGCCTCCTAATCCACTGGTGTCACCAATGTAAGGTACACAGCTCTACCCCTAGCCGAAGTCACTGATTCCTGGACCTGGTAAATTGGGAAATCCTGTCTTCCCGGAAACGTAGGACCTTCCCTGGGTTGGCAGCCTAGAGCCTCTGGGCTCCTCCTAGCCTTTCCTTGGACATAGAGGAGATGACCCTGGCTTTTTGTACTGAAGTCTGCACACCTAGATAAGAAGTCATATCCTCCATCTACCCACCGGGGAGAAGATAACACATCTAGCCTGCTGGAATCGTTAAGCTGCTGGCAGGAATTGCTCAGTTTTCTTAAAGAAAGTAGTGACAGGCACCCTGAAGACCAAGCTAGGATCTTTGAAGTTCAAAAAAGACCAAAACTATATTAAAATTCAGGTTGAAAAACATGAACCACAGCAAAGAAGCAGTTCTGTTTTCCCTCAACTTGCCAGCATGCTGAGCCGGGCCCCGGGCTTGGAGTAGACAGGCTGTGCAGGCCGGTGCATCTCCTTCGGAGAGGACTGAGTGAAGCCGCGTCTTCGCGCACCTACACCCAGAGCAGTTCCAGACACAATCACCGGGACAGTGCGGAGAGTTACACCCAGGGCCACGGAGGTCGTCAGAGCTTCGAAAGGCTCTTCATGTCAACAGTCTCGCATGACTGACAATTCTTCTTAAGTATTTTTTTAAAGGAGATAAACAAATAAAAGAGACACTGGAGAGGCCAGGTGCCACTGTCTGAGGCTGCCCAACAAGCAAACACAGAGGCCGATTCTACACGGATTCTCTCAGGAATGTGATAGACCTCAGGTCCCTCTCAGTCGGGGCTCTCTCTACCACATCACAGCGTCTCCTACAACAAGAAACAGTCAGAAGAGGCACATATGTCCTTAGGTGGAACAGGAGACACGAGCCTGTCGTTAAGACGTTGGGAGCCTCGCAGCCGCTACTCAGGCCACCGATGCCAATATTCAATGGACCATATCTTCGATTCTACTCCCCAAGATCAATGGAAACTCTCATGGAGTAAAGACATCGGTGTGGAACTGCGGGTGGGGCCCTTTAGGAGCAGGAAGCTTCAGTCTGACTGAGGCAAGTCATGGTGTGGAGTACTGGGTGGCACATCCTGTCACCCTGCTCTCTGTCCGGGCTGCAGACTGCTATTTCAAGTGTGACCAACGACATTTCTTTTCAGAAAATACACCTTTAAACATTTTAGGAGCCAAAAAGTATTTTTAAGGAAAAAAAAGAGAAAATATAGAGCAAAGTAGAAACAGGGTGAAAGTCAGGACAGGCTGTCAATCCAGAGGCCTGGGCTTCGAGCCTGCTCTGTCCCTTACACACTGTAGTCGTGGGCAAGTCACTCAAAACCCTTCTGAGCCCTGGTTTCCTCAAATATAACACAAGGATGGAGACGCCTGTCCTGCAGGCAGGAAGATGTCAAAATTAAACCGGGTGTCTTACTCTGCTTGGGCTGTCATGACAAAATACCACAGAATGAATGTTTAAATAACAGAAATTTATCTTCTCACAGTTCTAGAGGCTGGAAGAAGTTCAAGAGCAGGCTGCCAGCGTGATCGAGTTCTGGTGAACACCATGCTCCTGGTGTACAGAGAGCCAACTTTTCACTGTGTCCTCACACGGAGAGAAAGGCAAGTGTACGTGTTCCAGCTCTCCAGGGCCTCTTCTCAGAAGGGCACCCATCCCACCCAAGGGCCCTGCTCTCATGACACCATCCAACCCGAATCACCTCCCAAAGACGCATCTCCAAATACCACCATGTTGGGGGTTCGGGCTTCAGTAGAAGAATTTTGGTAAGACTCCAACATTCCATCTATAATGTGAGGTAACACATGCAGGGCCTCAGCAAGCATCTCTACTGCTTTGTTTTAGAAATTAGAATTTGTCCCAGGAATGGCACGGCATCTAGTTGTGAGATCATCTCCGTAAGTCGATCGCATTAAAATAGTAATTGATGAGTCAATGACATTTCATCAATAAATAAGTACCTCCATGTAATATTTCTGAGTACCAGAAAATCCAGGAAAAGGTGAAGACTCAATGCTCCTGTCTCTGTTTACAAACTGCGGTTAAACCCCCCAGGCTTCATGAGTGGATTCGGTTCTTGAAAGGGACATTTCTGAGGTACCGATTCTAGAAGCCTGGGCAACAGGTGGTGTACTACACCTCCCAAAATGTGCTACAAACAGCACAGACCACCGAAATCGGACGTTTGCATCTGTGTGTTTATAACAACGTATCCTTAGGTTTTATTGCCTTTCTGGATCTCTGTTGCCCACAGATGTTGTTTTATTGGGCAGATTCTAAGAAAAGTACCTGCCATAGCTGTTGGGACTTCATGGGGTCACAATAAGTTACTAGGCTACTGGACGACCTGGCTTCTAGTCCTGATTTTGAGACCGGGGGCAAATCATTAAACTCTCTGATCCTCAGCTGAAGGAACATTTCCTGAACTCCCAGCTGAGACCTGGGCTCCAGACTTCTTAGTGTGGCCACTTGCTACCTGTTTCAGCCTCGGCTATTTCTCAAGTTCCTCCCCAACCATAAATAGAAGTAATAGAGTAACCAGCTATGGACGAAATGGGCATTCCTGATCCAGGAAAAGAACTCCCAATGTGCTACTCAGCATTATCACAGATGAACAAATGGTCACATCCCAGGTGGTAGGGGTCCAGCTGGGATTTGAGTCCAGGTCTGGCTCCAGAGCCTGTGCTTGCCACTCCACCTGGGCTGCTGCTCTGCTGTTTCGAAGCCTGCTGTTAATACTACTAAGTCGTCACTAAAAGTCTCTCCATAAAAGCCCATGTGTGAAATGTCTTTTGCAATTTGGTGGTAGGAAAAGCTTTGTCTCCTACAAGAAATCACTATGTTTCCTCTTTTTGAAAATAAGAGTTATGCAACTCATCATGTGTTCTTTTCGTTTTGGCTGCCAGGAAGCTCGGAGTCAAACTGTGTGCTCAATCACTGCCACTGAGTCGTTTCCTTCTTCCTTTGTCTTTGTTCCTTATTTTGTCCTTTTAATTCCTTTTTTTACTAACATTTTCGTGTGTGTCTCTTGTTGATAGACGCCTCAATGGTATTTGGACAGTGGTGGGTAGAGATGAAATAAGCAAATACAAATCTAAAATTTACAAGAAAGACTTAAGTTTTGAACCCTACCTGTTGCACTTGCTAAAAGAAAATGGTCAAGGGGACATTTAAAAGAAATAATTTAAGGGCTACTTTAAAGGAGGAAAAAGAAAAAGGAAATCGACAGAAAAACAGAATGACCAGCACTCACAGAGGCCAAGTCAAATAAAAACTGCAATAAATATGTCTGAGGCTAGAAGTGTTTGTGCTTTCCCTGCCTGGAACCTATCATTTCTTAATTATATCTTATGTGTGTTTTGCAAGACGTGAGCTGCTGTCAAGAGGAAGGGCAGTATCAGACAGGGGAGGGGCCACGGCCTACCCCCTGCTCCTCACATACCTGTACAGAAGTGAAATCCCCCGAGGCACAGGCACCCAGAATAGCAGCGCCCACGAGAACAGACTCCACCTCTTGGGACAGGACCACAGGCATGCCTGCACAGGACGAGACCGCACCTTGGTTAGTGAGCAGGCCCGGGGCACCGCGGGGAGCCAGCAAGCAGCCCGGCAGTAAAAACACCTGATGTGAAGGCAGCAGCAGGCACCTCCTTCCCAGCCCCTGCAGCCCTTGTCTCTTGCGATTTCCTGGCTCTGAAGGGTTTCATTGCCTGTGCCTGCTGGTGCGGTAGCCAAGAGCCCCATGGGAGCCAATGCCATACAGATCAACTCAGGAGAGTTTTTAGCCCCGGTTTCCCAGGCTTCTGCTAGCTGCAGCCTGCCATTTGGTTCAGTTCAGTTCAACAGACATTTCCTAAGTGCTTTGCTGGGCCCAGGGAATACAGAGCTGAATCTGACTCTGTCCTGCTGTTTCAGTCTCAGGGGGAGATGGATGAGAAAGAGATAAAGGAGGTCAATGCTGTAACTGAGATGCACTAAAAAAAAAAAATGGAAGTACTAAGAGAGGGTGTGACTAACCCCTCCAGTGGCTTCTGATGTCTCTGAGTGGAAGGCAAAGCCTTTCCATGGCTGACCAGGCCCTCTAGGACCAGTGCCCACCCAGGTCTTCCTCTCTTCCCTCTCATCCTGGCTGCATTGCCCTGGCCTCCCTGCTCTTTCTTAATTCTGCCTCAGGGCCCTCACCCATGCTGTTCCTTTGTCAGGGTCGGTCACTTCCTTCTGGATGTCCACACAGCAACTACATCTCACTCCAAGTCTGTGCAAACACATCCCTCGCACTGTGGCTTTCCTGACTGTCCAGTTTAAGACGATGACTCACCCACAGCACTCCTTATCCCCTTCCAACACCGTGTTACTAAGTATCCTGATTATGGTCTGTCTTCCCTGCTAGAAATAAGGTCCATGAGGGCAGGGGCTTTGTTTAGTCCTCTGCTGGGTTCCAGGATTTGAGACCACTGTATAATATTTGGTAAGAGCTTCAGTGGGGAAAGAAGGCATTTCTAGCAGGGGCAGGGCGCCATCAGAGCGGAGATGAGGATTAAGGGTGCACTTGAAGGATAATGCAGTGGGGGTCTCCCAGGCAGGGAGGAACACGCCGTGTGCCAGCTCCAGAGGCTGAGGGTTCATGGTGGGTTTTAGATGAATAGAGTTCATTCAGAAATCTTAGAATTTTATACATACGCATGTGTGTAATAAATATAACATATACAAAATATACATGTGTTTGCTAATCAGGAGATGGCAGCAAACTCCACAGAGGTAAGCTCTATGGCCAGACCCATACAATCTTTTCCTACACAAGACAGTGGACTTATTTTCCCCAAAGATTAGACTCCTCTTCCTATCTTTTCTGGGAAGACTCCCATGGCATAACCTCCTTGTACTCCCACCATGTCCTGCCTCACCCTCCCGCTCCAGGACTGGGCCAGCTGGCCAGCCATCCCAGACAAAGGGGGCAGGGAACAGAGTTCTCACACATACCCCGAGTGCTCAGGAGTAGCAGCCTCATGCTGCAGGGATGGCCAGTACTTGAAACTTTGCTAACAAGCAGCAGGTGGGATGGGGGGCCCTGGGGAAAGCTTAGGCCTGGTTCCTGTGTCCTTCAGCAGGTCACTTGAAGGCTTTTAGCCTCAGTTTCCCCATGTGTAAGATAGCGATGATGAAGAGACTTTCCACACAGGTTAGCTGTGCGGACTAATGAGAAGGGGCACACATGCAGAGCACGGTTTCCGGCCTATGCTGAGCCTTTAAGAATGGGGGCTGCTACTGTTAGAATTATTGATAGTGAGTGAAGCCCTCCTACATGCACTTCTCCTGGGCTGAAAACTGGAGCAGCGGGGAAGGGACATCTCAAGGGGAAGGACAGACACCAGTCCGCACTGAAGGGTTGTGTCAGCCAAGTCAGGAGAATGCCTTTGCAGAATCCCAGGGTTCTGCAGAATCATACAGACTGTGACTGTGACCATGACCCTGACCGGGACCAACCCTGTGCACTGGGGCTTTTGAGAAGACAGTTTCTTCAAATGTCATTCAGCTCCCAAACCCCTCTTCACCCTGTCAAAAAAACCACTGGTTCTGAGCAGGAAGGAACCACTTGCAGGCCCCTCCCACTGGGAAGCAGACACCAGGGAAAACCTGCGGAGCCCCCCACCCACTCTCCGGTTGCAGCCCAAAGCCCTCCGCAGCCAGACTGCCAGGGTTTGCGTTCTGGTTCCCTTGCTGACTCAGCTGTGTGATCGGAGGCAAGTTAGCTAAGCTCTTTGTGCCTCATTTTTCCCATCTGCAAAATGGGGTTAAAATTCCACCTACTTCACAGGGCTGCTTGAGGATTAAAAGTGCTATTGAGAGTAAGGCACTTAAAATAGTGCTTGCCTCAAAGAAAGCACTACATTAGCACTAGTTGTTACCTCTGAAGTCTCCCCACACCTGTTACCCTTGGTGGAACCGACTCACAGCTTCTATTTGCCCCTCAGGTCAATGCCACCTCTTCCTTCCTGCCTCCGACCTGCTCTAGGTGCTCTGGGTCCCGCACACTGTGTGGACCACGCCTGTGGCCCAGCTGCCCTCTGGCTGCATCGCTGAGTCAGCTCCACTCTGGCGACTGTCCTCATGCAGCCCCGTGGTCTTAGGCTGGTTGCCTCCCTACCCCGGCCCCTGTAAGCCTAGAGAGTTGGTAAGACTGTGAGTTGAGCCAGGCTCTTGCCTGGTGGCCAGGGTTTCCCTACACCCTACCCACACCTCTGTAAACAGACCCTTTGTTTGACTTTTCTGCAGTTAATCCCCTTGGACTGTGTCCTCTCCTCCCTGCCTGGACCTGCCTCGCAGTGACCCCTGTGTTCTCCGGGTCCCCCATAGTCTCCGGACACTGGAGAGCACACACACGCTTTGTCTGTAATGGCCCAGTGAGCAGGGCATTATTGCCTTTCTTCACCCCCTACACCAATCTTGGTGCTTGGTTCACTGGTGTGCTCGGGGAAGATTCTGGAGGAAATAAACAAATGACAAATAAGGCAAGAAGAGGGAAACCCCTACTAAAATTGCTGGAACTGGAAAACCAAATCTAGAAGGAGGGACATTTAGTCCCCTGTCAGTGGGGGAAACCTACAATTACTTAGTATACACCAAGTATTTCTTGAAACCACAGTTAACTAAATGCCTAGGGCACAAGGAAATTCTGCCTCTGCATGTGGAGGACGTTTCCCAAGTTGGTGAGGCCCCATTCTTCCTGCTTGCAGGGAGCGGGCTTTCCCAAAAATGGCAGAGGTTTACATACAAAACATTAAACTGTTTTCTCCTCAAATACACCTCCTTCTTTTTGGTAAGCACTGCCTAAGGAAAGAAGCAAACTAACGTTTATGGGTATTTACTCCTCAGTACAATGTGCAGGAGGGAAATTATTATTATTTCTATCTTCCAGCAGAAAGAAATGAGACTCAGAGAGGTACAGCAACTTGCCCAGAGTCACAGAGCTGTTCCCACCCCCAACCCTGCTCTTTCCATCACACCACACTTTCCCCAAAGCAACTTCCACATTCCCCTGGGTTTTCCACAGGCATTCCTGAGAATCATGCACCAGGTCTGAGGTCCCTCGAAGTTTTTCTTTGGAGGAAAACTAGAGCAATTACAATGTGTAAAGGCACCAAAAACTACCTCTACAACCTCTGCTCTGTGTGTGTCTTTTATAGGAACGCAAGCAAATGTGTTCTTTTTTCCCAGGGCTGGGTGCAGGAGAGGAAGAAGGCAGCCTGGCCTGGAATGTGAACTATTTTATCTGATGCATTAATGAGTTGAGCAGAACCCGGAGCATTTAAAGGCAGATGCACTTTGCCATCACTTGTCAGTCACAGGCTTCCCAAAGCAGAGGAATTCCAGGCCGAAGAAAGGGTCCCTTTGTCTGAGACTGTAACTGGTCCACAGTCAGAGACAAAGGGTCCAGTTTCAATTGGAATCCAAATAACGATTAACAGCTTTTTCATTCCACAGCCTGAAGAACAGTTTCCAAAGCAGAACTTTCTGTGAAGCCATTGCAACCCCTGCTCCTGAATCAGCTCAGGGATGGGAGGCCTGGAAGAGGACCCACTTCCATAAGGGCCGGAGCCTCCAGGCCTAGATGGGACCCGGGGTCACTCATGCTGCCCCTGCTCTCGGAGGCCTGCTTCCCATTCTCCTGGTTAGCCAAGAGGGAATGTGTTAGCCAAGGCCGATATTATCTTCCAGTAGGAAGTCTTTGTGGCTGTCAGAAGGCTGGACATTGGAAAGTCACTCACAGATCAAATTTTAAGTCTGACTCTTATCTGAACCAAGCTACTAGCCGAGTTTTAGATAAAATGGGTTTTCTCCTGGGGAAAATCACAATGTAATCTGGGTGCCTTTTCCTGTCTTTGCTCTTTCTGCCTCAGAAGGGCCTGCTTCCATAGGTTTTGGACACTTGGGGAAAGGAGTCATCATCATCAATGGTTATAAACTGGGCAGAAAAGCTAAGAAACCCGGGCATGAAAATACCTGGGTTCTGATCGTGGTCCTGCTCCTTACTGGATATTTGAGTTCGGACAGCTGATTTAATTCACCTCCATGAACCTCAGTTTCCCTGTCTGTAAGACAGGGGGCATCAATTTCTACATTTTGGTGGTATGTGAGGACTAAATGTATGTGGAGTGATTCACACAACACACAGAGGGAGCCTGGTTCATGGTAGTAATTTCCATACCTAACATCCTGATATGTTTGCGCTTAGACTGTGTGGTTTCTTATTCTGTCCTCTGACTAGTGGCTCAGTCTATTTATCTCTAACATGGGAGAAAACTTTTGTTTCATCTCACAATATTCTGGGCTCAATTGCGCCCATCAGGTTTGGGAAAGCTCTCACCTGCAAGAATCTGCACGGCTTAGGGGGAGAAGAGGCAAATGATGCAACAGAGTAGGAGCAGCAAACTCGACCCACTGAGCTGTTAGAGGTGAGGGATCCAGAAGGTGGGGAGGTAGCAAAAGATCATGATACATGGAGACCAGTGTAGGGTGGGCTCACATCAGGCTGGAGCTATGGTGCCTGGCCACCCTGGGATGGGTCCTGGGAGGGGAACAGTAGCCCCCAGGAGATGCTGGCAGAGACAGGAGCAAGAGGGGTAAGGGCACCAGGTACAGCGAGGTGGCAGTCCAGGCCAACCGCTGCAACACCAGCAAGCCTCCTACCAATGGGGCCCCCTGCTTGGGACCCAGGGGTCTGCTGTATGGATCCTGTTCTGCTTCGTCTGCTCATGTCACAGAGGGATCAGTCCGTCAGTCTGGACTCCCTCCATCTGTGTCACGATTTTTGACTCTGATGAGGGTCTCGAGGTCTTCCCATCTGCACACAGAACCCCAGTTCCCACAGTAGCTGGCTTCTGCATTCCTTCTTCAAGACAGTTTCCTTATCACTTTCTCTAGGTCACTGGCCCTGCACCATCACAGGACCAAATCACGGAGAGGGGCCACACTATGTTTTCATAATATCCTGTGCTCTTCTCACTTGCAGCTCTTGCCACACTAAATTTAACATGTCTGCGTGCTATTTGCCTTCCTCAATAGACCTTGAACTCCTTGGGGGGGGGGGGGCAGACATTATGCCTTATTCATTTCTGAAACTTCGATATTCCCCGCAATGCCCTGAAGAAGTGCTCAAAACTGTTGAGTAAATGCTTGCATTAGGATCCAGCCTTGCTGACCATTTTTGTCTCATTTCTCACCATCATCCCATGCCTGGATTCTCATAGAAGTCTCTTTCCCCACCATGACTACAAAGACTCCACAGTTATCTTTTAAAAAATACACGTTGGCATAGTAAACATTTGAAACAACTTGGCACACCACCCACATACCCCTTTTCTCAACCCTGCTTGGATCACCGACACGACCCTTTGCTGTCAAGCCTCAGGTGACCTTCTCTCCTTCTCGGGCTTACCAGTAATGTCCGCATGCATTTGCACAAAAAGGGGGTTCTTGCTCAGGCCTCCACACAGGAACAGAGTGCTGAGCGAGTGCCCCGCTGCCTCCATGGCCTCTATAATGAGGCGGGTCCCAAACTTCAAAGGAAAAACAAAAAAGACAGCATCAGAGTGACAGCCAAAGAAAATGATATCGAACGTTTACTAAGTGCTGACCTCGAGCCAGACACTGCCCTCGGAGCTCTGCGAACACCGAACACCGTCTCAGAAAGCCAGCACTCAGGTCAGCAGGTTGTCTCTGGTCATGGGGGTCATTAAGTCAGAGTGGGGACTCCAACCCGGGCCTGCCTGGCTGAACATCCTCTTCATTACTACACTATTTACTTTTAGCAGTTGTTCCATGATACTGATGAAAAGAAATGACAGTATTCACACAGTTAATGAAGTCAGTATTTGACGAGGGTTACTGTGGCCGGGTCTCCGCTGAGGTACGTGGAATGAAGTGATGGTAGCCCTGATCTGAAATTACTGGTCAGTGGTCCCTGAGTCAACCTTTCTTCCCGAAATAAGAACTAAAGACATTTGTTCGCTGAAAAGACACCAACAAATTAAGCAGCAGAAACCTGGAAAAAGGGCTCTCATTACACAAAGAATGTGAACCTCAGACTTGGAGATGAACGGCAAAGGGCTAAAATGACCTTGTTTTCACCTGAGACCAGGTAGTGGTTCCCATAATGAAGCTTCCAGAGCTGGAACCCATTCCCAGTCGGTCCTTAAAGACCTGGGATGATGCGGAAAGCACCTGCTCTGATTGGCTCGTGCCTTTGCTGTATTTTCACCTCAGCCCTTGTGTCTCAATACCTTCCTAAAATGTGTTATCCTCATCCTTGTCTTGCTAAGTTTACTAAACTTAGCAAGCTTTACTAACTCAGCAAATAATGCTGAGGCTTGGGAAGAGGAAACCTTCATGGGATCATCAAGATGAATCTTCAGCCCTGGCTGATGTAGCTCAGTGGATTGAGCATGGACATGCCAACCAAAGGATCACGGTTCGATTCCCAGTCAGGGCACATGCCTGGGTTGCAGGCCAGTTCCCAGCAGGGGACCCACGACAGGCAACCACACATTGATATTATTTCCCTTCTCTCCTTCCCTTCCCCTCTAAAGATAAATAAATAAAATCTGTTTAAAAAAAAAGATGAATCTTCATGTCTGATTCTTTAGCTTTAGGGCTAGGATTTTCAAACAGCTAAAATCATAATTTATTTGGAAATTCAAAAACTAGAAGTTCACAAATCCTAACTTTTGGAGGCTAGGGATTAAAAACAAAAAAAGATGCATTCTGATATGAACTTAGGCAGCAGGAAGTAATGTTTCTGTTTTGTTTTGTTTTTGGTGGAGAGATAGCCCTTAAAAAGTTTAAAGATGGGGCAATTCTGAGGAATAACAAAGTCCTAGGTATGGATGTGGGAGGGAGATGCTGCAGCAGTCAGAGGACAAGGTCAAGGGAGAGGAAGAGGTCAAGGATCTGAGAGGCCTCGGGTGGCACGGCCACCCAGGAGGCAGGTTGGAGCTGGAGAGACTGCAGGAGCCAGTTTCATGAATGAAATGGCAGCACTGCTGGCAAGCTGGTCCCCCAGCACAGGGTGATGGGGGAGCAGAGGGAGGGAAAGAAGGTAGTTTAGCTGGAGGGTCTGCTAAATCAGAGGCTTAACCAAAGTAACTGTGGAGATGTGAGAAGGGGTCTGAATGTTCCCCTACCCCCAGGGGGTGGGATGTGGGGCAAGCCTCCTTTGACAAGGCTGTCTGCAGAGCTGTGTACCCCGCCGCCTCTGGAGAGGAGGGACTAGAGGGCGATCTGGGCCCCAGGCAGAATCCTGATGGCTGTGGCATAAATGATGAGGGAGGAAGGCAGCTGAGAAGCAAAAACGCAGCAGTTCCAGCCCAAAGGTCCATGGGGTGTGTAGAAGTTATTAATGACTTTGGTAAGAATACGGATTAGGTGAAACTTGGGCCAACAAAGATAATCCACAGCTGTAGTGTTTTTTTTTTTTAATTAAAACATGTTGTACCACATAAGGCCAGATCCTACTTATTGATTATGGGTTGATTACCCCCAGATGTTCTTCCCTAAGGTTTTTGGCAGTCATGAACTCTCTTGAGAACAGAATAAAACCCACTGACCTCCCCAGCAAAAATCTGTATACAAAATAATATTATGAATAATTTGAAAAGGCCTACAGATACCCTTGTGCCCACCACTGATGGCTGAGTGTCCATGGATTACCGGTAAACCTCGACTGCTCTGAGGCCTGAATTGACAGCAGCAAGGATCACGGCTTTTGAATTTAAAAAAACCTAGGGTGGTATTAAGGCATTTCATGTATTTCTTGAATCAAACCTGTACCTAACCTTTCTAAGACTTCATACTCATTTTTAAAATGAGAATAATAATATCGTATTTGTTCATGTGAAAATTCTGTGTGTTTTTGGAATTAATATGAAAAAACTGAAATGCAATCTTAGGCTTCATAAAACACAGCCTCACCTTGTGAGGCTGCCATTGTAGTCAGTGCGGGTAGCAGAGTGTCAAGAACATGGAAAGTGTTTAGAGATGAGAGTCATTCTGGTCATTTGGCCTTTGCTCCACACTCAAAGGTCATCTCTAGTCGATGAGAAATTTAAAGACTGCATACTGTTATTCCCATTAAGGAGTTATATGATTTGCTTCAGGCAACAGAGTCCGCATAGGAGGGCTAAACGCCTCACAGCAGACACAGAAATGCCGTGCAAAGTTGCTATTTCTCATGTTTCTAAAACCAGGGACTTGGGCTCAAGTGCCTAGAGGGCCTGAGTTGAGATTAGCATAAAGCCTGGGAAAAGGAAAGAAAGGCTCCAAGGAGGGCACGCCCTCTGCAGGGGCGGCCTGTCTCCCTCCTGTGGCATTGTCGGCTGGAATTTCCCACTCGGCCTGGCCCTGGCGGGGCCTTCCCTCCACTCTGAGAACCGCTCCACCCGCCTGGGAAGGCTTTGTGCTAAAATGATTTTGTGCTCACCTTTCTGGAAAAAGTGTTTTCACAGAGAAATTTAAATTAAAATTAGGCTATTCCACTGGGAATGTACAGAACCAAATGCAAATCAAGAGACTTCAAATGCAAATAGTACTTTTTAAGGGTCTATTCTGAAAAGAAAACTATAGATGAACGGACTATGGATAAACTGGGTGTTTGACAGGACTTTCAATTAAGCGGGATCAAGAGGGAATTTTATTTCACGGAGGGTTTGCGCAGAGTCCCTAGTTAACTTTATTACAATATCTCTTCAACTTCATCCTATTTCTACAAAATACCAATCGTAGATATTACTACAGAAAGGAATTTGTTTAACTTAAACTTAGCAACAGCAAACGGGTATCAGGGCCTTCTTCAGAGCAAATGAAATACAATTTTATTTTCCAGTTTAATGTTGTAATAAAATATCTAGTATCAGAATGCTCAATTAAAATGCACATTTTTTGCCTAAAAGATCAGCACAGCCAGATACTTTTGCAAAAGAGGTTGAACTCACAATTCAATGGATCCCATAATAAAGTCTTATTGAAAAATCTGTCTTAAATTGCCTTTCCTTCATGGTATTATAAAGGTCATCAAGGCAATAGACAAAATAAATATGATAGCTTTTAGTACACGTATGGTCCATTACATACAAGATTGATTTTTCAAATGTCTGGTACTTGGGAAAATGTAGTGGGCTCCCCACCACCTCCCACCCCTCTCACTGCCTGCGTTAAGTTCATCCTCATTTACACATTTTAAGACATCCGCTGCAGTGTTGTTAGCAGGCTGGGGACTGCGGTGAGACAATCTGGCCAAATTAACAATGTTTTCTAGGAGTGGGAAGTCAAAACTGTTCTTGGGAATGTCTGGAAGCTCTTTTTATCTATGAAGGTTTCACAAATAGATCAAAGAAGAGTGCAGCATGGTGAAGCGCAAAGAGCAGAAGCATTGGAGTGAGACAGGTTCAAGTTCCGACTCTGCTGTGCACCAGCTGTTTCGGCCTTGGCAAGTGGTTTCCCCTCTGTCTGTAAAATGAGGACAATCTCATCTACTCACAAGTTACTGTCTAAAGCCACAGGTAAATAGGGAACTCTGTTTGGTGCCTGACACTGAGAGTGGGTATCAATGATAAGTAACTGTCATTATCATCACGTGATAATGAGGGTCAAGGCCCCTGGACCCCATCCTGTGGGGCCTTGTTTTTCACGTCCACCTCTTAGCAAGGACTCGGAAAGATGAGCATCACACAGCTCTGATTTTCCAGGAATATTCATTTCAGTGCAAGCGATTCATCCCACTATAACAAGACTTCATACAGTAACATAAATGAATCAGAAAATATAGTTCTCCCACACATTATCTATTTAGTTTTATTTTAGAAATCCTAGCTCTGCCCTTTACTAGTTACACGGAACTGAGCAATTACCCTCACTGAGACTTAGGTTTCCAATCTGTGGAGTAGGGACTGTCACACCTACCTCCTGAGCCTATCAGATGATGTGTGTAAAATATTTAGCACAGTGTCTGGCACATAATACCCCAAACTACATTATTTATTGCCCTCATGATTACTATAAAACTAGATCACTAAATAAATGTTTTTACTGCTGATACACATTTTTGCTCTTCATTTTCATCTTACTCGTCACTCCTTTCATTGTGATGGATGTCAGAATTGTCTGTTTTTGACCAAGTCCCCGTAAATAAAGCAGGCTGACTGATTTCACTGAACTGGTCAAGCTATTAAATCAATAAGACAGCTGCTTCAGAAAAATCGAGTCAAACTGATCTATAAACTAAGAGGACCGTTTAATCAAGTTGGCTGATTCCATACTCCTACATAATAGTTGCTTTCAAGACCACACGGTCCTGGAGTGGTGGGGAAGTTCTGTTCTCTTATCAGATGTGCACGGCACCTGGACACATCTGAACATGAGAAAAGTGCCTTTGATGGTAATACACTATGTTTAAAAATACATGTGGTTTCATTATTTGAAACGATGAGGCCAGGAAAGAGGTATGGAGAAACAATCACTGCATAACATATAAATATGTCCATATAGCATTAACAACTTTGTTTAAATAGGTATGTTTCTGAAAATGAATTTTGAATATGAATTAAAGGAACTGATTTTTCCTTTATGCGGTCCCTATTTTCTTTCCAGAGTGGCTAAGTCTAACTGGATTACCTGTTACATCTCAGAGCTCCTAACACCTCTGAGACCCTGAAAGCCGTGCCCCACCACCCTGAAAACGTACTTTCTAACATGCACACACATGTAATCTTTCATGCATGATTTCAGGGTTGAGAAGCTGCTTATAGCTCAGCCTACGCATGGATCACCTCTGGAGAATGAGATTCATTAAACAATCATGTTCAAGCTTTTAGAATTTTGTTTTCATTTTTGATTGGCCTTTGGTTTAGGAGCTCCTAACACATAGATTTAAATTGTTCCCTTCCTTCATATCTAACCATCAAAGCTTTCATTGAAGCAGTTGATTATCTAAAAACAAATGCTTTTGTATTCTAAGAAAGTTTATTATTTAAACAAACCCTGTAATTAAATTTTTGCAAAGTGAATAATTATCATGTTTTATAAAATCAGACATTCTTAATTCCAGTTTTTTCTTATTGCCAATATACACGGCATCTGCTCACTTGCTTCTGTTTAATTGAACTTAGAAGATAAATGAGACAAATGACAAGTACGATGTTCAAAGACTTTAACACCTTTCAGCTCTCTGAGGTTATTAATAAAGTAGGTGGAGATCTTTATCAAGATTTCCTTTTGAACAGACACCCATATCTTTTTGGCTAGATCCCTTTAATTAAGAACCTCTGTCACAAAAGCATATGATGTAGCCTGGGGAGCATGGGGTTTAAAGTTTAACGATAACATAAGTCTCTGTAAAAATGGCATTAAAACTTCCACAACCACATCAAAATTACAACTAAACTACATAACAACCATCATTCAGAATTGCCTAAAATCTTGCTAAATGAAAGTTCTACAACTAAAGATATAAAGAAGCTGCCACATTGAGACTGGTAGAAAATGCAGAGATGCTGAGTAAGCTGGTTGGACACCCACATGTGGCAGATAAAAACTGAGAGGGATATAATATCCCTCTGAGATTCCCTCTGAGGAGTGAGGGGTCCCATCCCCACACCAGGCCCTCCAGCCCAGAGTTCCAGTGCCAGGAAGAGAAGTCCCCATAACTTTTGGCTGCAAAAACCAGCCAGATGTGGCAGAGTGAGACAGAGGGCTCCTGGAGTCCCAGGAAGTTCTTCTTAAAGGGCTGCACACAGATTTATGCAGTCTCACTTGCTCTAAGCTCCAGCACTGGGGCAGCATTCTCCAAGACAGAAGTGCTGGCAGAGGCCATTGTTCCTTTTCTGAGCCCTTCCCCTAGAGCCAGCAGGTGGACACTATATCTGAGTCTCCATCAACCTAGCTATCACTGTTTGCCTGACCTGATGACTCCCTGAGACACCCACACTCCTAACCTGTGAGCCCACACAAGTTGTTTCCAGAAATGACCTGTTTTGGCTCATGCTTCAGACTCTTCTATAATCTCTTGAACAAGCAGCATCTGGCCTTGGCATGCCCTCTATCTCTTGCTAAGTGGCCCCAGGACTGGCACTAGAAGAAGATGGCCTTGGTTCACCACTTGGCCTCTCCTGGGAAGAGCTCAGTACAAGTAGAAATCATCTCCAGACTGCTTTGTAGCTCAGGATGGGTGGTCTGGGGCAGAATATGGGTGGTAGCTGACCTTGGCCTGTGCCTCCTGTTAGGCCCCAGGGCCAGGATACCTGGTGGACAGCTTCAGACCATGTTGAAGCATCAGCTGACCACTTCCACAAGCCACACACTTGGGGTGGACTCAGTGAACATCAGAGCCCTGCTGAAGAAGTCTTGCTCCATGGGGTGACCCTTCATAGTGGTCATAGCCAGTTCTTGCAGCCAATATACCTATGTAAGTCTCTCCCACTGATTTACCAATAGCAATCAAGGCTCAACTACAAAAGCAGGGTATACACAGCCCACATGTAGGTGTGGGGAGGGGATACTAAGCATCTAGAGTGTCCAGCTCCAGAGAACAAGGAGGCTGTGCAACTGGACCCTATAGGACACTCACTATGTTAGGTCACTCTACCAAGCTGGGGAGATACTGAAGCTCTACCTAATACATTAAAAAATAAACAAACAAACAAACTCACAAGGAGGCTGCCAAAATGAAGAGGCCAGGAAATATGTCCCATGTAATAGAACAGAACAAAACTCCAGTAAAAAAAAACTAAACAAAATGAAGACAAACAATCTACTAGATGCAGAGTTCAAAACACCGGTTATAAGGATGCTCACTGAACTTAGGTGAAGAGTAGATGAACTAGGAGAGAATTTCAACAGCATAAAAAAAAGTACGTAATAACCATAAAAAAGAATCAGTCAGAAATGAAGGATACACTAACTGAAATGATGAATAATTTACATGGAAACAACAGTAGAGTAGATGAAACCAAGAATCAAAACAGTTACTTGAAATATAAGGAAGTAAACACCCAGTCATAACATCAAGAAAAAAAAAGTAAAAGACATAAGGAATGTGTAAGGAGCCTTTGGGATAACTTCAAGTGTACCAACATTAGAATCATGGGGAAACTGGAAGGAGAAAAGAGAGAGCAAGAAATTGAAAATGTATTTGAAAAAATAATGATGGAAAACTTCCCTAACCTGGTGAAGAAAATAGACATTCAAGTGCAGGAAGCACAGAGACTCATAAATAAGATGAACCCCAAAAGGTCCACACCAAGACACATCATAATTAAAATACAAAAAGTAAAGACAATGAGAGAATCTTAAAAGTAGCAAGAGGAAAGCAATTAGTTACCTACAAGGGAGCTCCCATTAGGCTGTCAGCTGATTTCTCAACCAAAACTTTGCAGGCCAAAAGGGATTGGCAAGCAGTATTCTAGGTGTTAAAAAGCAAGGACCTACAACCAAGATTACTCTACTCAGCAAAAATATCACATTTAGAATGGAAGGACAGATAAAGAGCTTCCCAGACAAGAAAAAGCTAAAGAAGTTCATCCCCACCAAACCAGTATTACATGAAATGTTAAAAGTCTTCTTGAAGAAGAACAACAAGAAAAAAAAGATAAAAAATATGAACAGTAAAATGGCAATAAATACATATCTATGCCAATTGAATCTAAAAAACAAATGAACAAATAAGCAGAACAGAAACAGACTCATACATACAGAGAACATTTGACAGTTGTCAGAAGGGAGGGAGGTTGGGGAATGGGTGAGAAAGGTGAAAGAATTAATAAGTACAAACTGGTAGTTACAAAATAATCCTGGGGATGTAAAGTACAGCATAGGGAATACAGTTAACAATATTCCAATAACTACGTATGGTTTTAGAAGGGTACGAGCTTTACCTGCATGATTACTTAGTAAGTTACATAATGTCTAATCACTGGGCTGTACACTAATATAATATTGTATGTCAACTGTAATTGAAATATTAAAAATTAAAAAATGACCGCTTTTGAAATACAGTTGACCTTTGAAAAACACAGGTTTGAATTGTACTCATTCACTTATATGCAGATTTTTTTCAGTAAATACTACACAAGTATTTTCTCTTCCTTATGATTTTCTTGGTAACATTTGAAAAAATTTTTAAGTGGCATTAAAGTATCTTACAGCAATGGCTTGAACTGTAGCCAGGTAGAGAATGGCAAGATCATCAAGGTCCTGAGACAGTTTCAATCCGCTGACCTAGAGAGATGAAAACAAAAAAAAGAAGATGATGGCCAAAAGGAACTGCCGTGGACAGAGTTAGTTCCCATGAAACACATTCAGATGTGTTGCTTGCAAAACAAGTTCATATGCAAATCCCCTTTCTGTCAGCTGAATGTGAAATGACTACTAAATTGTTTAATCTCCAGACCTGGGAAAACTAGCTCTTCTTCTTCAGAGAAATCCTTTGCCTCAAATTAAACAAAAACAAAACAAATACTAGAAAGATTGTATCTGAGATTTCTGAGCATGGAATAAAACTTCTTTCCTCTTCTTTAAAAAATCTTTTATTGCAAACATCTCTGGCTTGCAGGCATCAACATATAGGGGCGGCATTCTTACAAAAGCTGACCTATTTCCAATTCTGCTACTGTCAGGACTCAGTGTGGCAGCACCCAGAGGGTACTCTGGGTAAAATAATATGTCTGCTATAAATGTTATACCTACTAGAGGGTAATTTAGAATCTGTGGTTTGCAAGGGAATCCCATTAAAATCTATCAGAACCATATGCTTATATGGAATGTGTCAATCTCTGAGAGATTCCAGAACCGAATAGGATGCTGGGTTGGGAGGCCTTTGAGACTCATTCACCATTCCACCATTCCACTTTCATGACACCCATTCATCAAGGGACCTTCCTACGGGGTTAGGACTGCTGTTCTGTTAAACCTACTGTGAAGTTTGTAGGCACTGATACCAGAGTTCACTTTATATTTTCACATTACAAAAATTCATTCACCTAACACACTTGGCACTTAGGGCCTACAGTGAGCATGGTCCCAAATTCAACGAGGTGGTAACATGCATCATATGTTACAATAGGGGCAAGAGGTCTACCCAGGCCCTTCTCCTTCACCTGTCCAGATCCCACCCCCAGCCACGATGAAGGGGCCAGTAGTGGCCAGTTGACAGGACACAGGTACCATTCTGTTACTGAAACCAGAAACTCGGAAGCACTCTTCCTTGACTTTTCTCTCCCTTCCCGTATTTAGCCAGTCTCCAACTCTTGTATATTTGACCCCCCCATTTTTTTGCCTTTATGCCTTCTTCATCCTCACTGTTTCGCACTCCCTTAACCCAGACCACCATTATGTCCTTCTTCATTGATTCTTTCTAATGGTGCTCCTCTCTACCATGGAGCTAGTGATTATTCTCAAATGCAAATCTGATCCTGTAACTCCCTGTTAAAAATTCTCCGCCTTGCCCTGATTTTTTAAAAAAGTAAAAAAAAAAAAATGTTTTAATCCTCACCTGAGGACATTTTTTTCATTGATTTTAGAGAGAGAGAGAAAGGGAAAAAGGAAAGGACAGACAGAAACATCAATGTGAGAGAGTAACATTGATTGGTTGCCTCCCATATGTGCCCAGACTGGGGATCGTATGTGCCTGGACTGGGGATTGAACTCTCAACCTAGGTATATGCCTTGACCGGGAATTGAAGTCACAACCTTTTAGTCATGGAATAATGCTCCAACCAACTAAACCACACCAGCCGAGCCACTTTTCCCTCAATGAGAAGCAGAAATGTTCTTCCTAGGTTTACCCCTGTTCACTACTCCAATGTCCGAGTTTGCTTACTTAGCATCTTGTGCTCCAGCTATTCTGAGTACTCATCTAAGTTTGTTAATAAGGGAATTCTTCAGAGAACTTTTCTCGGCAAATATTTGGGCATCTGGATGAGAAAAATGTCTTTAATTTTAACCCACAGGAACATGAAAGGTCTGAATGAGAGATAAGACAGGAACCCTGGGGGTGCATTCTCTCCAACCAGTAACCCTCTGTGAAGGGACATCTCTCATGAAATTCTCCAGAGATCTACACATTAGTAAGCATACTTGAACTAGGAGAATCATAAGTAATACTGGCAATATAGAAGTTCATTTCATTATCTTCCTCAGGAAATAATTTGCCTACGGGAATGCAGAGGATGGAAACCAAAACCTAGGTATTCTGACAGACTTTCCTGATGTTATTCACCATAGTGTCGCCACTGCCTAGCACTGTGCCTGGCACATAGCAGACACTCAGTTAATACGTGTTGAATGTGTGAATTAGTGACAATCCTATGTTCCCTCTCTCTTTAGTATACTGCTCTCTCCTAATATTCTATCCTTCTGTTATTATATGATTATGAGAAGACAATGTTTACTACCTCGGTTCCTCATACATTCAGAGGGGAAGGGTCCTTTGTTCTGTATCCTGAGAGAGAACTTTGAAGATCACTTATAGCTGTTTGCTCCATGCTCCCAGCATCTCCAACCTCCATACTTACCACTCCTCATTGGAGGAGTGGCTTACGTAGACTGGAGTAAAAGTAGGGTCCCTTTAGTGCACACAGAAACTTTGTGTGAACTAGAAAAAAAGGTGCCCCTTTGCAACGGATTAAATACATAAGGCATGACATCTGGGAGAATGAATAATAAAAAGGAACAGAGTGAACAGGATTTCAGCCCTGTCATATGTCCCCCTCAACTGCATGTCTTGTGTGAGTAACAAGCACCATGACATGACATGCAACGGTCCTGGTCATGAATGGTCTCAATCTCGATCTCTCTCTCTCTCTCCCCTCTATCACTTCTGTACTCGCCTGGCCTCAATAACAGCTCTGTTGTTGGTCTTCTGGGAAACTGGCCAACTGCGCTATGGCTTAGAGCCCTCTTCTAGAGCCCATCTAGAAGGCAGGCCACCTCTGGCTTCCTCTCCCTGGTCATCAATGTCACGTGAATCAAGTCATGTTCACCAGCATGACTGCGTATGTATCTGCTCAGCAGAGACACATGTTCCTAAAGGTTAGTCCTGAACCAGATGCAGGTAAATTGTAATGGGGGTTGGGGAAAAGTCTGACTTATATATAAGATTAATTTATTAGAAACCTCAGTAACCTGTATAATAGCATCGATAATACTGCTAGTTCTATTCTCCTTTTTAATTAGTAAGACTCCAGAAAAGAGGAGTGTGATATCGCCAGATTTAGCTTTCTTAATCCCCAGTAAATATGCATAAGAAATTCTGAAACATATTAGTATTTGAGCAAAAAGATATCATGGGCCCTTCTCTAAATTTCTAGTGCCTCCCGAGTTCAGAAATTACAAGGCAGAAAAGAGAAGACAGAAACTGAGCAGAAACTGAGAATGATATAATAATGTTACTGAGCACTAAATTTAATTCTTGACTTTGTTAGGAGCTATGACAAAAGGGGACACATAATGGGTGACACAGCCTTCCTTTTATCAGTACATAAAACATACCTATCCTTCAAAAGGTGAAAAACCTATTCCTGGGAAGAAGACACTCAGTACAAAAGGGCATCAGCCCACACACTTCCATCATAGCCATTTCTAACACTTCCTCCCCGCTAGCACCAGAGCCATGGAGTTGCAACGTGCCTCACTGAAAAACATTTCTCTACAGTGCAAAGTTACTATGGCTGGGGCAAGGAGGCCCCTATTTCCTTGACATTGAACCTGAAATGCAGATGAAAACAGGAGAAGGCATATGCTCATTCAGTCCATTGACTCTTAATATGAGGGGCCTCAGCCCTGCTTTGATGCAAGTTGAAAGACAGTCAGCCCCAGATGGAACTGGCTGCCAAGTGGACCACTCGGGAGGCCAGAGAGGGTCCTCAGGGAGCTGTGTTGGAGGGAGGTGGCAGCACTGCCCTGGGAGTGCTGGGGTGTGTCAGAGTGCCCTAGAGGAGGTGCAGCTTTGTAACAGTGAGAAAGCTGGGAGAGGACAGATGCGCGGATACCCCTGGCTGAAGGCTGAAAGGTTCATCAGTACGAAGAAATGGGAAGGAAGCGTAAGGGAAGACATGTGTCCACAGCTGTGCACGTGCCTGTTTTGAATGTCTGGATGAGACAGAGAATGTATGGGGAAGCCCCACGGGACAGCTGCAGTGGTAAGCATATTTATTTATTTTGGCTATTGTGTAATGAGAACTGTAAAAGAGAACACAATTATTATTTAGAGATGTGTGAAAGCTATATGGTGGCCAAAGAGATGCAAATTGTGTCTGATCATTTCAACATCTTAGATAATGATTATAAAATGTTTATGTACATCTTGGGATTTTTTAGCTTAGAAGAGAGGTGTAGGTGAATGGAAAGATGAAGAACTTAGGACAAGACATCTGGATTTAAATCTTGACATTGCCCCTAACTGGCTGCATGACAGTGTGAGTTTTGTATCCTCTCTGAGCCTCAATTTTTTTTTTACCTATAAAATGAAAATAATATCTCAAAGCACTTGTATGAAGATTGCACATCATTTGCAAAATGCCTTACTTTTCAGCAAGCTGTACTGAGTTTACAAGAGCTGGACACCTGCAGTGCCAACCATGGGTACAGGTGACACTTAAGTAGGACTCGAGGAAGCACACACCAAGGCACATCATAACTACATTACCCAAGGTTAAAGAGAAGGAGAGAATCTTAAAAGCAGCAAGAGAATAGGAGACAGTTATCTACAAAGGAGTTGCCATAAAAGTATCAGCTGACTTCTCAAAAGAAACCTTACAGGCAAGAAGGGGCTGGAAAGAAGTATTCGAAGTCATGAAATGCAAGGACCTACATCCAAGATTGCTCTATCCAGCAAAGCTTTCATTTAGAATGGAAGGGCAGATAAAGTGCTTGTCAGATAAGGTCAAATTCAAGGAGTTCATCATCACCAAGCCCTTATTTTATGAAATGTTAAAGGGACTTATCTAAGAAAAAGAAGATGATCAAAACTATGAACAGTGAAAGGACAACAAACTCACAACTATCAAAACCAAATGTAAAAAAACAAAAACTAAAACAAACTAAGCAAACAACTGGAACAGGAACAGAATCACAGAAATGATTCTGTGGAGATCACATGGAGGGTTGTCAGTGGGGAGGGGAACTCTTTCCTGGGGTCCTGGCTAAATGCAGATTTCCTGAGACCCAGCTCCAGATCGACCGAACTGTTACTATGGGCCCAGTGACTCACAGTTTTGGCC